ATTATGGGGAAGAAGCTCAGGATTGGTCGCATGTATCTACTGAAGAGAGTATCCCTTGAACTATTGCAACACTATGCATTCATCCATATGAATATGACTCCTTGTCCCGATTTGTTTCACCTCTATTTGTTGACCAACATTGATGGGCCGATTATGAGCCCTTACGATCAACTGTAGCTCATGGGACCCATTGAGTTGGTATGAAAAGATAGCTTGTGGGTCACGAATTTTTAGCATAGGTGGAGTGCCTTTGAGATCGCATATTCCTGGCCCTTTGATACCAATCCACTTTTATAAGTATTTATTTGTGATTTGAAAAATTATGAGATACTAAAAATAATTTTTCCAAATGTTTTTATGCTTTGTGAATGTTTAATTCAATAAAAATATTCAGCAACTAAAAAAATTATTCGTATAAAATTATCTTATATCTCTTCTTGGTATTTTAAAGTTGTTCAGGCAAGTGTATTTTCATGGAATCCACATGGGGGGCCAATAGCCATGGCCCCCAATGTGAGTAGGCCCATAGTTACTGGAATCTATCCACCGACCTCGCGTTTCTGGTTCCAAAACCATTTTTTGGAACCAAGAAAACTGGATTCTTTAATTTCATAATCCCGATTCAACACATCTTTAGAAACCACTTATCGTAACCAAAGAAACTCGATTCCTTAATTTTGGAATCTCATCCAACACTTCTTTAGAAACTTGAACCCATTAATTGTGGGTAGACATTCCCAACTATATCGAATATGGATTAACCAGCAAGTATTAAATCTTGATTCCACGTCAATTGGAGTAGAAATCTTCCTTTGAATGCTTCTAATGGTTGCAAGTTTTCATTATTTTACTTGTGCCACCTTGGATGGTCTTTACTTTAAATTTAAAACATAAGTGGTAAATACAACACATACAATTAAAAGTAAAACCATGATGTAGACATAATCCTATTTTGTCTTTATAATAATGAAGTCAAAATAACAATTTAGAAATGGGAAAAGTTTATATAGAGCCGAGGCTCTAAACAATCAAATTTGAGCCTACCTCAAAAATTTCATTAGAAGATGTTGTTTTGATGCTCAATATCTTCAAATTGATCATCTCGACATCAAGATGCATGGACATGAGGAAAAATTGGATTTCATGTTTTGGAAATAGTGTATTTTGTTACGTATTTTTGGACCGTCAATTTTCAAGATTTTCAAGTTTTCATAGATCTATCAATCTGCATTATTTTTGAAGCTTTAAACTTTATAAATAAACATGAAAACATATTTTAAGGCTATCACAAAGATTTCTAGTAGTGAAACCACATATCTCAACACTATTTGAAGGTAGGCTCTAATTTGATTGTTTAGAGCCTAGGCTCTATACAAACCGTACCTTTTAGAAATACTTGTCTTTTGTATATAATGACTGTAAGTTCAATAGTCAACACAATCACTTTAAAATTTGGAAAACCTTCTAATAAGAGACATCCAATATAGGTTCTAAAGTTGATGAGGCTCAAGATGTGCTTGTGACTTCCTTCTCCACAAAAATGAAATCTCGATTCTTGGTAGGGGTCGTCAAATGCATTCTATAGTCCATATTATTGTAAATCTCGACCTCAAACTGGCATGGATCTCTGATCCATATACTTAAGAAACTTGATTCCAAATATGTTAGAATCACAATTCTAAACAACAACATATCTCTATTCCACATGTCAGAAACTCAATTCCATAGTTGTCGGAAACTCGATTCCGCATATTAATGAATCTTGACTCATGGGGTGTCGATTCCAGGGGGATGGGAATCTCGATTCCAAAGAGGATGGAATTTCGATTCCATATGTGGATGCAACTTGGATCTATTTTCGCCAAAACACGATTCTCAAAAACTAGGAATCTCGTTCTTAGCGATTCTCAAAAACTAAGAATCTTCTAGCTGGTCGCGATTTCGCCATTCCGGTTCCTAAAACGATTTGGGTTCCCAGGCGTTTCCAACAACTATGAGTAAGCCACATCTTGAGTGGGACATGAGCCCCCATATGGGATTCATGCCTGATATTTCCTTACCCCACCTCTCTCACCTTACGAGATAAGGTTAGTTGGAGAGAGAGGATTTTAAGATTTCCCTTTGATCTTTAACTTTTTGATCATCGTCAAAGTCTTTTCCCAACTAATTGGGGTTGGCTACACGAATCTTGGTCTGCCATCCTGCTCTATTAAGGGCCATACCCTCAGTGAGGCTTCGGTACAACACGTCGTTTACAGGGATCACCCTAGCATAAGCAAATACTGTAGGTTCAGGATTCATGATAAGTTTTGACAAAGTTTTACATTGGTTGCCTACCTAACACAACCCACCTCCTTTACCTGGGTTTGGGATGGATTAAGGGAAAGTTTAAGGTACTTACCCTTTTTAGACCATCTTTAACTTTTTGATAAGAAAAATAAAAAAGAGATTGTGTTTTAAAATAGTAAGGACTTCTTTAAAAAAAGTTATTTCTAGGAAAGGATAAAAGTTCTAGGCTTCTAACCCTTATATGATCTCGATAGGTTAAAATTTCTAATTGGATTAGAAAATCTATTGGAGAAGATTAAATATTCTAATCCCAAGTTAAGTTCTGGATAAACCTGATCTTTGTGGAACTAGAAGAGGATATCTAAGGGCTAATGGTTCTAAGGTTCATCCCTTTATCCTGATGGCTGATCTAGGGATTGGGTGGCTCAGATTTAATCTCTCTTCACCTCACAAATTACCCTTGGACTCCTTAGTCAAAGCTAAGTCCTATTTTAAGATGGCTTACTTGTACCCCAAAAAGCACTATATAAAGGGAGTCAAACCCCCCCCCTCCCCCAACATCACCCAATTTTGGTGTGTCTGTCTGTCTCCACTCCAATTTTCTCTCTCCTCTCATTTTCTCTCATCCTAGGCTGGCACATACCCATAGGAGCCACGTACCCCTAGGAGCCCATCAGTGGGGCATGCCCTAGTCCATAAACAAAAGGGGTGGTACCACAATGTTGCATGCCCCACAGTTAAAGAGGGCTGAAAGGAAATCCAAATTGTGTTTGTTTTCAGAGGGTTGAAAAAAACACTAGTTCCATCTTGGTTGTGTTCTCAATCAGCGCCATTTTGAGTTAGGCTTTGTCATAGCAGCTTCCCATCTTGTAGAGACTGTTGGATCAGTGCATCATCGATTTGGTAATCTGGGGTGGGGTATAATAAGTCCTATAACGATGATCCTAGGCACGGTGGGGTATAATAAGTCCTATAACGATGATCCTAGGCACGGTTCTATAGGTTGCTTCCCAATTTATTATTGCTTCCTGTTTTTGATTCATATTTGTTCCTTCTTTATGAATATAGTTTATTTTTAAGGTAGTAAGAGTGTGATCCATAGATCTTGGTAGGTTATTTTCTGTTTTTGCATTGTAATTGGCACTTGTAAGTAGAATTTGCTGGTATAATAAAAGAAAAAGAGAAGTTTTTGAATTCATACACCGTGCAATTCTAGCATAGCCCCTCCGTTCACAAATTATGCTGCTGCATAGGCCCTCCTTGATGCAGCCTATGTGCTGCCTTGGTGGGGTCATCATGTATGCCCACCTAGGTGCGTTTGAAGTGATGCGGCGAAGGGCTGTGTTGCCTGATGTGGCTGCAAATAATGTGGCATGCTGCTGCATTTGATAACTATGGATGTGTTGGATACCTGACTCGGAGACCTTGCACCCCATGTCAACTCGATCTCTTTGTAGAGGGGTTTGATGGGAAATTTGCCCACACCTTCCCAAACTCTTGGTGGAGCCTTTACCTATGACAAATTGATAGATTGTCTTTAATAGAACCTCAACAATTAAAGTTCTTCTCTCCTCTATCTTTATATTCCTTATGTTCCTTTTAAAGTGAGATCAATGAGCCACTTTACTCCATCTGAAGCTAAGCTGGGTAGACTTGAGAACTCGATATTTCACTCCCTTTTGTACAACATCACACATAAAGCATGAATATAATTCTACTTTTATTCATGCCACATCTAATTCCGCTTTTAAATCTTTTTTTTGATAAAGTAATTGAGCTTTTAAAACTGTAATCTGTAATTGATAGGTTCCACAGTTTCATGGGCTATGCCTCCTTTGGAACCAAAATTGATGCTTAAAACTTGCCCACCTTGACAAAAATTTCAGGCTGTCTCCCCAGTGACAAACGGCATTGACCAGGTCATAGGCCCCGTAACACGTTTGGTATCTCCTCTGGGTTCCACTTGGAAATGATTGGTTCAAGCCTCAGTTTATTCATTGAAATTGAAGAGAAGGAATGGGAAAGGTCATTACTGAAAGTCTGTGAAGCTTGGCATTCTTTATGTTTAAGAGGATTTGGAAGTTGAAAAACTCTATGACTATTGGAAGAATAGAAGGAGAAGGTGATTGTCAATTAAAGTAGGAGATAATTTGAGTTGAAATGGGTTTGCATTCATTCTTTTGCTTTCAATCTACTGGTGGCTTCGATTACTAGTCCCAAAGAGGATCAAAGGGATGCTGGACGCTTCCCTGCTTGGGATTTTTAAGGTTCATGTTGATGATTGTGACTGTGGAGAACCTAGGGCTCATTGTGGTAGTGGTGATTTTGTGTTTTGTAGGTCCCATTGGGTTTACAAATCTGACTGCTGAAGAGGTTTTGGGATTTCTGTTTAACTTGATTCTATACCTGTGTCATGTCATAGACATCCTTTCAATACAAGTGGTCATTAATGTCATCGGCATGCTGCGTGCAGAAAGTGTCCTTAAATAGTTAAAAACATCATTTTGAAGTGAAGAGAATTCTTTTTTCCATGTTTGTCTTGAAGCAACATGTGTATAACACAACGATTTTGTACAAACTTGGTGTATTTTATTATGTGTATCTAAATCTTTATCCTGTGAACAACTTGGTTATTATGTTCTTTGGACAAGCTAAAATTGTAAGAGCCAAATTTCTTTCTTTATTTTCTGATTGTGTGTGGTTTACTGCAGATAGTTGGCATTCTTGGTAATGGGTTTGCAAAGATTGCAGATTTGTTGATCAAGCATGTTGTGATTCCTGTTGTAAGTGCCTCTGCTGATGTTTTTGTAGAAGTATTAAGTCAGGACGAGGCAGTTCTCTGTGTTGTTCCACATCCAGATTCTCAGGTGGTGAATTTGTTCTACTCTGGAATTAATGCTTTAGTTTTCAGATCTATGAGTTTTCTGAGTTGTGTCTTCTATTGTTCTTGGAATTGGACTGAATGTCTCCCAGCAGGCTCGTTTGCAGAAACAGATATTGTGCAAATGATTTCGGAGCTCAAACCAAATCTGTTTTGATGCATGTAGATAGTCAACTTCATGAATGTGATCTCTGATTTTTTTTTTTTCTCTTTAGGGGCATATTGATTAACTTTTGCAGTTTTGCAGTTCAGTAATGTGGGAAAGGTCTTTGTTTAACTGTAAGTTTCAAGTTTGGAGACATCCCATTTTTGTGATAAATTTATTACTAAGAGTGTGGGATTTATGGCACACTATGATGCATGGATACTTTTAACCTCAATGCTGTATTTGTGCCTGGTACTTCAGAAACATATGGAACGTCTCAAAATATTGATGTTGTTGCGATATCCACAGCCGTATGTGTGCTTCATAGTTTGGAGATGACATTATATATGTAGTGTTTATTACATTAAAATTTTTGGTTCGATCATATTGGGCAAAGCTTGATTGTATAATTATTTAGACACTGATAAAGTTTTCTGGATATCCAGTGTTATACCCTGTGTCTTTTAGTTGTGCATTGAGGATCAAAATTTCTTTTGAGCCATAGTTGACATCTCACATTCATTTATCTCAGCGAGGCTTAATGAATCCTATTTTTTCTGGGTCTCTTTGGCCTGTCGAGGAGTCTTACGTGCAACTTCTTTATTTTAATTGTTCCCTCCCAAGCTTAAGGAACTCCAGGTTCTTCAGAAATGGAAATCATGATCTGACTCAAAGCTCCACCTCTAGATCAAAGTCCTATTTATCTTGTCAAAAGACGATATAAATAAGGAGAAGACATCTGTTTTTTTTTTTTAAATGAAGTAATCACGAAAAACAGGTTGAGTATATGCACTACTTTTATACTTTTTGCCAGATTCCAAGCTGTCTGTTTTGCATTGAATGTATAATCTGATTCTTTTCTTGATAAATGGAAGGCACATAATAAGAGGTCCATACGGGAGGCGTTCTCATATTACCTATTGTCTTCTTGATGTGCTAGATGATTTCATGTCCTTGCACAAGAGTTCCCTGTGATCCAATGTTGGTTGGATTAAATCCGAATAGAACTTTGGTTATTATTGGTGAGAGCTTTTAGTTAGCATCTTTTGAAAAGCAATTGTCACTCATGCATTGGTATTCTACTGCAAGTATGCAATTTCAAGGGTTGCTTGATGCTTCCAAATTACATTATTATCCAATTGATACCTTGTAAATATAGGTTTGTCTAAACTGAGTTTTTGTATTTGTAAACATAGGTTTGTAAAATCAGTTTCATGTTTGTACGGATGCAGTACTATATTACTTTATTTTATTATGTATAGCTGTGCTGAAGATTTTGTCATCCCATCGCCTGATATTTTAGTTACTGAGATGTTTATAACATGAAAGGACAGAAAGTTTTGTAGGAAGTTGGTAAGTGTGCAGAACTGTTTTTTTCCTTTATGAATCAGTTAAATGATACACATCCGCTATGCACCACTTGATATCTTCTGGATGTTTTCTAGTTTCTGAGACTTCTCATTATTTTGTGGGTTGGGGTGGGGGACGGGAGAAGGATTCATAATATGAAAATGGCTAGTCTAGTGCGTTGCTTTAGGATCTAGATTATTTTACTTGGATCTCATTTCTTTTTTGTTCCACCACCTGATAAATCGACCTATGCCTTGTTAATATTTCTGATGAAATATGAGATCTTGTCTGATACGTCGTAGTTGAGGGCATCTGTCATGTTCACTCAAAAGGAGATGAGATGATCGATAAAGTATCCAGCTTCTGGTTATTTATTCTGCGGGAGGGGTGGGGAAATTGATTCTTGGTCTGTGATCTTACTTGGATATTCTTGATTTCCTTGCTTCTTCGTGGTGCTTTAGACTTCTAGATTGTGCTACGTAATAGTGATAACTATCAACTGCTTTTTGGTTGATCTTTTGGCGATGGTTGTAGCTTTTCTTTATCTGTGTGCATGCATTGGTACATGAAATGTTGAAAGCAAATTACGAAAACATTGGCCGACCAAATGGGTTTTGCTGACTTCCAGTTAAACTAAAAATTAAGGTGCTCTGTTATCTAATACATCAGTGAGGTGTCCAAAGGGAAGTGCTTGTTTTGTTGTTGACCTATCTTTAATTTCTCATTGTAACCCTCTGTCATAGTATACAACCGCTCTGTCATAGTATAGAACGTGCATATGGTTCATTGATTATTATTTGCTTTGTCATCGATCGAAGTTCCGGGGAGCTTGCCCTGTTCATAGTGAAGAAACTAGTTGTAATTAACTATGATGCAATGATACTTGCATATGCTTAATATACCAGTTTTAGCATTGTATCAGACACCCATTCTGAGTCCGATACCATATACTTCTAGGATACTTCTATATAAAAGTGTAACAATAAAGATATGTTATCGGTAATATATAATGTTTTGCATTATTAGAGAGAGAGAGAGAGAGGTGGCGCATGTGCGATATAACTGAGGAGGGATAAAGAAATAAGATTGATAGAAAATTCATTTTCTTTGGGTTTGAAGGGAATCCACCTCAAAGGTTGAGAGATTTCGCCCTCTCTAGGCCTCCAAGGGAATCCACAAAAAAAAAAAAACAAAAAAACTTTTCATGTGACCCAAGATACAATTCAACTTCTCCTTTTCTACAAAATGCAATCTGTATGTTAATAAGAAAAGGAAACTAACCTGACACATAAGGAACCTAAACCCTGATTTCTTAAGTTCCCTTATTACCCCAAAATATTTTACAAACATAATGACTGAAATAACCCTATGACGAAAACTAGTTCCGCTAACTATAACATTCTCTAGGGGTTGGAAGAAGGTTGACCATGAGCTTGTTCTGGTCATTATATCCTTCTAATGTTCTCTTCGCTAGTTCATGATGGGGTCCCACCATTCACCTTGTTACTCTTTCCAATGCAATCAAACAATTAATAATACACAGTTTGGAACATGCTGAAAAAACTGTAATGTAAAGTATAATGTTGATTTCCTTTTTGAGAGTGGTATATCACATCCTAAGATCGGTTTTTCGATTTCTTCGTGATTGACAACTTGAATTTGCATTAATTTTTGTCAGGGTTGGGGTTAATAATTAATATCTAATATTCTATCGTCAAGCTAACTTCTTTATTAGATATAGAATGTCCGAAATTCTCTATGTATCGATTTGGTTCATTGATCTGTTCTTGAAGTTCACCATTCTCTTCTCTTATTTCGCCTACGGCTTAATTTATGTGGGCCATGAGTTGTTGCAGCATGTGATCAGTCATGGGAGGTGGCCCGGGCAGCACCTTGCTATTGGGATCTTGAAGCTTGAAGGAGGGCGAAAGAAAATAAAAACTGGAGACTGAGTAAAGATTGAGAGAAAATAGTTTCTCTCGGGGTTTGTCGGGGAATCCATCCAAAAGGTTGAGAAATTTGGCTCTTTTTCTTGGCTCAAGAGGGAATCCACCTCAAGAAAAATAATATTTTCACAAGACAAAAATTCAATTGAGTTAATCCTCCTTTATAAAACACAATACATGTATTTATAAGGAAAGAAAAACCTAATAATTAAGTTGTGACTGAAATCCTAATTTCTTAACTTCCCATTTCACCTAAAAAATTTCTTCAAATGTAAATGACTGAAGAACCCTATGAAAAAAAATGTTACTTATCTACATCAATGTGCATCTGCTCCAGTGTGGTGGTGCATGTGTGTCTCCCTAATTTAATTCTCACATAGGCGTGCAACTCTAGGGTGTTCAGATTTGGTTTTGTCCTTCTTTCATGGTGATGTCATGCATTCTTATTATTCGTGGTCAGAGTGGTGCAGTCCTATTCTACAAGTGATGTTACTTGTGCATAGAACAAATGATCAGATTGTTGCTTATGTTACATGTACAACTAGTTCCTTAATGGGTGGTGTATTTTTCTAAGATTTTTCATGCATATCAGAATTCTGATTGCTTTTACTTTTGCCAATGCAGCCAGAAAACTTGGATGGTTCTGCAATTTATTCAAGGCTTATTGAAATTATTAAATTTATTCACGGTTTCATTTGCTTCAAAAATGGTAACTGGATTGGAAATCTGGGACGGTTAACATGGCCAAGTATTTCTGAGGCGGTTATCACAAGCTTTATTTCCAAGGTTTGCATCCATGCTAAAGCTGACTGCACTTATCTTGCACTATCTGGCATGCTAACTAGCTGAATCTGACAGAGTTTGGGTCGAGATGGCTAAAATTGGCAATATCCTCCATAGATCAGAGACCAAAATATAGATTGAAAGAAAATTGTTGTATTTCATCAGCAATCAAAGTTGCCATAATGATCTGCCCATTTTATTGATGTTATTGAACTTTCATTTGTTATTACTGTGTTTTCTTTTTGTGACCTATATTTTCAGTACATATTGGATTTCCGTTCAATTAAATGACCTGGAGCTCCTTTATCCAGGCTGTCCCTAATGAGGCTTCGAAGGTCGCTGAGTTTCAAAGCATTGTTAAGATGACAGCAGAATTTGAGGCTACTTTGAAAGAACTAATGTTTATATCTGCATCTGATAGCAAGGATGAAAGATTGAGCAATTTTGCTCAAAATGTGGAGGTCCATTTTGCAACTAAAAAACGGAATGAAATTTTGGCAAGAGCTAGAAAATTACTTGTACAATCTGAAATTGATGTTCCTTTGGTGAGTTTATCATACGGTTGCTTTTGTAATTTAAATTATTATTAACGTCTCTGCAAAGAAAGAAAAATTACTTATTTACTTCTCAGGAGCATGCAGCTCGAGTGACTTCAAAGAATCGAGTTGACTTGCTTTTCCAATCTGAAAGGTGCACTGTGTCCTCGGCAGCAACTCAGTTAATGGAATTAGTGCATCAAACATTACAGGTAAAGTAGATGTCAAAGTGTTCAATTTCTTTATTAGTCTCCAGTTGTACAATGCTTTAGGATGAGATTCGAAGAATAACAAAAATGATATGCTATTCCATTTGCTGTATTTTGTATGTCAAATTTGTGCGTTTTCTTGTTGCATTTGTAATAGAGTGGATGATTTAAAGTAGTTTTTAGAACATTAAGTGACAATGGATCCACTTGAATCATCCTTTCTGTACCATTTTTTGTGGGCCTGTGAACTATTTTCATTTACAATGTCTTCTCATACTTTCAAAGCCATGTTAAGTTTATAGGGGGTTTATTTGTATCTGATGGTCTTGTGTCAGTATAATAACGATTTGTTGAAATTCTCTGCTGCCTTAATTTTGTTTAATTTTCATCCCTGGTTCTCACGGTTAGGTATTTTTCTCTCGATGAAATTAACAGTTAATTCATATTTAGTATATTAACAGTTAGTCATATTAGTATTAACGCAAACATTCTGTCATGGTCTCTTTATCCATGTCAGTTGGATTTGAATTAGAATTTTTCGTGTCATTTTTTTTTTAATATTTTTGATGGTTATTAATTTTTGTTTTAATCATCTCGTTCTGCTCCTCGTAATTGGGATCATCTCTCTGGTTGATTATCTTAGGAATCTGACAGTTATTTTACTTGTACATTTTATGTTTCTTTTTCATAAAATATTAATTATTAATATTTTTAAAATTTGTCTTCTTTTGCTCCTTAAGATTCCTTCTTTTACACTTACGAATTCTGCTTGTTGATCAATGGCTTGTCAATGCAGAATGTCTGCATGTCACCGATGAGAGTGGCAATGGAATTCTACCATGCTGCACGCGATGCTCTTCTTCTCTATGAAGTCATAGTTCCAGTCAAGGTTTCTTCCTCACCCTCTAAGGGTCCTTTAAATGTATCACCCTCTAAGTGTCCTCTTGAATAGGGATGTTCTGTGAGCAGAAGTGGGAATTTATCTTCAATGTTCCTCATATTGTTCATGTTTTGTCTAAACCATGAATAATTATTGTTGTTGGGATTACACTATTGATTTTATAAGGATATTATTCTGCATTATTTATATTGAAACTTATTGGCAATTGTTCTTGAAGGTAAATTTCTCAGCAAGTTATTCACTGTATTAAACTAAGATATTATGAATTTAAATTTCCATAAAAAATATGAACTTGAATTATGCACATTAAAAAAGATATATTGAAAATCTTATTTTCTATTTTGCACCAAAAGTTCATGGGAAACTCGATACATAGAGATATTGATTGTCCGACTGAAATTTCAACCCTTGGGATTGTCATCACAAATTGTAATTTCAAAATTCTTTGTTTTTAAACTGAGTACCAATCTATATGAACATCAAAATATGAAACAAATAGTTAATGCATTTTTCTTTTTCATATTAACTAGAATCGTTCCCATCTAGGTAACTTGTTTTTATATTGTCTTCTCCTTTTTAAGGTAATTTAGGAAGATATCCCCTTTGTTCCTTATTCATATTTTGGACCTTTTGGGTGGTCGGTACATTAGTTCAGAAGCGTCATTATGAGTTCTGTTTATAGAACTTACCAGAAACAAGCCTTTTGCATATACATGGCAAACTTGTTATTACCAGGGAGTTGTTTTAGCAGATAATTATGGTAAGTCATATTGTATCACTTTCAATTCAATATATCAGCACAATATTGGAGTTCATATGGGTAATAGAAGTTATTGTGACAATCCTGGTAAATTGAATTACCGGTGATGAAGATTGAATGATTGGGCTAAATGTTTTGTCCAATTACTTTTGTTCGTGCCTTTTCTTTCTTAGAAGCTTTTGAAATTGTCATCATTAATGGTTCTTTACTTATTTGTTTTCCTTGTTAATGACCAAAATAGTCTGTAGGGTTCAATGTCTAGGTGTCCTTCAGTGGAATTGATATTGTATATGTAAGTTGTATTGGAAGTCAATGGAAGCCTTTGAAGGAATGTCGTATCGCAAATCCAATGCAGAAAAGCTGATAAATGCTCCAAATGGTTTTCATACCAGCATGCCAAATGCTTTAGAGCTGACCATCTTATGTGTGAAATCCTTTAACCATAATCAAACAGAAACTTTTCATCAATCTACACCATTATACCTAAACCAGAGAAAAACAACAATCACTTATAAGATTGATTATCCTCCCTGATGCTCCACAAAACCTTCTCTTACTAACCAACACCACCCTGATCTAAATTGCTCATAACCTGCCTTCTATAGAAAACCAAATGTAGACGATCTAAGCCAGTCCTTACCAGATGGACATTTGAAGTAAGCTTTTGAGTTGCCAATAATCTTATTATTTGATCAGAATCAGCTTGATCTTCACCCTTGTCATCCTTATTGCTTTTTAACAGACTGTACCTATTTCTTGTCATTAGATTAGTATCTCTACAGAGTCGTTGCTGGAGCTACCACATCAGCGATAATTGAACCCTCCCTTTATAACAATGGATGATGCACACTCAGAATTCTCTACTAAAGATGTGGTTATCGTCATTTATCCTTCAACATTTATCCTTCAATTGATACCTTCATTCTTCTGTTTTGGTTTCTCAAAGTTAAAAAGTAGGAAAAAAAAGTGTAGAATAAAATGTACTGATTATAACTTCCTGGAGATGATCTCCCTCAGAATTTATTTCTTTTTGTTATTTTCATGTATTAGATAGCATGGGCTGTTTGCGGGTTGTGTAACAACTAAAGTTTGTGTGGAGTTTTCCAAGTGATTTTCAATATTTCTCCAATAAAATGAAATAGATGCTCCCAATTTCATGCTTTAGGAGACTTACTCTTGTTAAAGTCTCATATCAATGTCTTAACTGATTGTATCAGTACTATGGTCTATATTTGTACATTGTTTTGTCCTAGAAATTTATGGCAAGATTTTGTAAACATTATTCAACTGATGTTTTTGCTCTGCTCAATGGCTGTTTATTTCATTGTGTATATAGGCTTGAGCATTAATTGTATGTTATGATTTCCAAGCCCAAGGAAAATGGATTTGTAGAACAGAATTATATATTTCGGTATTTCATTGACAATTCTGGTTGCATTTTTTTTTTGCAATGAAATGTTTGAGAATGAAGTAGTTGAAATTTTCAATAATTTTATGGCATATTCAGGTGTAATACAAAAGTACCTTATTACTTGGCAATAATTTATTGTTTTCTTGTTTGCTTTTCCGGCCTCTGCTTGTTCTCTCTAAAGTTGGAGAAGCAATTGGGTACTATCAGTCGTTCTGCTATACTCATGCATAATGATTGTTATTATTTATCTCAAGAAATTCTCGGGCTTGCTTATGAGGTATGGTTGATCAAATACCCATATTGATCTTATTGCTATCCTCTTTTTCAGGTTCATTCTTTCTTTGTTCTTGTGCCGGTTTGTATTTTTGGTGTGTTTGACATGAACACTATATGAATTCTACGAGTACAAAGGACATTGCTATCTTACATAATTCATTTGTGTAATCTGTAGAAGTAAATTAAGGTTGTAACTTTACATCAGCATGAGACTAAAATAATTTTACTAGTCCTTTCATGAGGAAAAGCTACAACCAGGTTGATTTTGTAAACTTCAAGAATCTTAGATAATACTGTCAATGTATGTAGAAATTGGAAGGCAATATTTATTAAATCAGGGGAACTACTTTTTGCTACAATGCTGAGAATCATTAAAGTACATGTGTTTCAATCTTAAACCTCGACCATGCTTTGTAGAATTCTACTTTCCTTCAAATTATACTCTTAATGAAAAAAATACATCTGAAGTAGTTTTTGGGGAATTAGTTGGTGAGGTACATTTCATAGCATTTTTGTTACTCAAATCAAAGTGTGCTGCGGTTTGCCAACAAATTTGGGGTTGCAGCCACTTCAGGGTATGCTTTTGCTTTTCAGTTTATGAAAAATAACATTTCGAAACCGAAAAGAAAGAGATCTTTTGCAAACAGCTTTAAACTTGTGAAAGTGAAATATTACAACTGAAAAATGAAGATAGAGATTTCAAAAGAGATTAAGTTTCATCACTTTAGTCATTCATAATCATGAGTCGACTACTACAGAAACTTGAAAGAATATACTCTCATTTCCGAAAATCTGCTTTCGCATGCATGAACTTCTATACCTATAATTTTTTTTTCTTTTCAGAAAGACATCAGTCAATTTACATTGTCATATTTAAAGTAGTCAATTGTACTAATTGAATAAGGTTTTGAAACTAATATGTCTTATATGAACATTATAATTGTAAATTAGGGTTTTCTTGCTTTTTATTGTCAATAAGTTCATCATCATTTGAACTGGTCATTTTCCCTAGCGATTATCATAACTTATCTTGTTCTGCCCTCTTTGTCTTGTAGCCATTCTTGTCTTGCTTTCATCTCACGCTGGCCCTGACGGACTCACAAACTGCATAACCTATTCTTTTATATTATGTTCTATGTTGTAGCTATAGGGGATTGTCACTGCAGTAGTTTTCTTAGTTGTTTATGCAGTGTATGTGGTTTTCCCCTTCAGTTTTAACAACTAATTGTGTACATGGTTTTCCCATTTAGTTTTAACAACTAATTTAGACAATAAACATTTATAAAGTAAACACAATCTTTTGTAGATCTGGCATTATCTTTCTTATAGTGAGTGGAGACTAGATCTTTTAATAAATTATATTCCAGTTTGTTGGTTTTCTTTCTAGCTACTCAAATGCGCTGCTATGCCTTCTGCATCCTGCAGAACTACCCTTTTAACTTTGGTTCCCCACCCTTCTTCCCCCCCACTCCAAAAAAAAAAAAGAAGAGAATTTTATTAGTTGCAGGAGGTACTGATTGAGGACCATACTTGTTGGGATTGGAAGTGGAGAATTGGGAGACATTAAAGATCCCTTTGGTTTGGAGCACCATCCATACAATGCATAGTTTAGCGACCGAGATCCCCAAATGTTAGCTATCTTGATCTTGATCCAACTTTTTAGGATTTTGCTTCCACCATGTATATATAGTCTAGGACTATATATACTCTTTTGAAGTAGGGATCTCTTTATTTATAGCTAGCAATCAATGCAACTGTATTAAAAAGTATAGTTGCATTGCTAGCTGGTCGTAAATAAAGAAAATCACCAGTTTGGTCGTTGTCTTCGTCACCTTGTTTTTACAGATTTTTTAATTATCAAAGAAAAATAAGGAGTGAATTCATGTAGGGCCTGGGGAATGCATCTCCTTCAAAACTCAATGCCCTCCTCTTGGAAAGTGTTTTTCTCTTCCATTCATCTTTTTATGCATTTTTATATTTGCATCGAAACAAGATCTCTGGCAAAGAAAGAAAAAAAATTCAGAGTTCTGTAAATCTGTCACTATCTTTCTTATGGTCTCAAAATGTATCGAATGAAGGCTACAACCTCTTTTAACAATTAGATTCAGGTTGTTGATTTTTTCTGTGTAGATACTCAAAGGCATTCCAATGTCTTTTGCATCTAGCAGAACTACAATTTTACTTTTTTTTTTTTTCTTTTTCCAATTGAACTACAAATTTAGCATTCATTGCAGGAAAACTCACTTAGGCCCCGATTGTGGACCCAAGTTTCTATAATAGGGCCATATCTCTCCTTCCTGGCCCAATTAGGAGCAGTGTTACATGGACATTGACACATGTGTTTGTAGCAGTAGATGTTGGAAGTATCTTGTACGGGATGCTAAACAACTAGTACTTTTTGAGATGTCTGTACAGCCTTGGCCCCTTAAGTTTTGTTATATATTAAAATTTCCAATGCTAAAAGGCAAGGTCATGTGGCATAAAGGGTACACCGCTCTAAACCTTAGGAAGGAGAGAGAGGTCACGGGTTTGAATCCCATGTGTGGTAGGCTATTTAAAACTTTTCTTATATTGTTAGTGGAGTATTTGTTGTATTTATAAATGTTTCATCAACATCACAAGGACTCCTTAGCAGAGTGAACATCTTATCAATGTCATGAGGGCTCCTTGGTAGAGTTGACATCTCTCATACACTCACCATTAAGTAAAACCTTTCATATAAGGATTTGCTCGACTTATTGGCATTTAATCAAGGATACCAATAACTCTGTTAGATCTCAAAAGAGACTCATGAACATGAACACTCCATATCTTAAAGTTTCAGTTCACCTAAGCCCTACTTCCACTTTGCTGTGTAGAAGTTAAAAGGTTGGGAGTGGAAAAATATTTTACTCTGGAGAAAATTCACCTAAGCCCTACTTTCCTTGTGTCTCATCATTTACTTATGTCATGTATATGTGTTATAAAGTATACTATGGCATTGCCTAATTAAAATGTACCAGATTATAACTATGTTGATCATATATTATATGAAATCTAAAATTTTGGGGAAGGGGAGTTGTCTGGCCCCCTTTTCCCTGTTCTTGTTCTCCACCTACTCCTCAATTCAGACACACCACTTCCTCACTTTCCTCCCTTCCCTTTCTTTTGCTTAACCCCCCCAAGTTCCCTCCCTCCCTTATGAAACCCTTCCTAACTACTTACCCTATGACCCAACCCCAACCTTTGACCCTCACCCCAACAACTTAACTTTTTGCCCCCTGCATCTTCCCCCGCAACTCCCATCCTTTCCGATTTCCACCTAGCACTGGCCACCCCTTCGGAAACTGCTTCGTCCCCTCCTTTCCTTCCCCTTGGCCTCTAACCCTTCAACCTCACCCCTCATTTGGCTGATTCTGAAACAGAGTCCCTCGAGACTCCAACCTTGGCAGTGCCCCTGACTGAGTCCCCTGAGATAGCTTTGGAACCCATCTCTCCCTCCTAGGTTGGCGACAAGCAGAGGAGGTCGACAGGGATGGGATTAACAGGCCAAAAGATAGAATGAGAGAGATGTACAGATTGATGGGATTCAAATATGATGGACTTGAAGGACCGGCTCACAGATTCATTACGGCGGATGCACAAAGCAGGATGTAGGTGAGATTCAGAGGTCAGAGAGAGCATTGTAACCTCTTTTCCTCCTTAACCTTTGTTGGGAACCCTGTAGAGAGTCACCCCTCTCCTCTCACCATGAACTGCCCAAGGAGGTCCCCTAGACTGGCCTCCTCGTCCTCACTCAGCTCTAAAAGATGAAGCTGCTTGTTTGGAATGTAAGAGGACTAGGACAGTCCTCCAAAAAGGATGCTGTCAAGGACCTTACCTCCAAACTTTCCCCTACGATTCTAGCCCTTCTTGAAACCAAATTACCAGAGCCTAATCTCCGTCTCATTCGCGAGGTTTGGGGTAGAAGACCTTGTCAGTGGGTCTCTCTACTAGCAAATGGGGCATTAGGACCATACCCTAAACTCTTCCTTTATAGGCGAATTTTCAGTTACACTTCTCCTTTCTAGCACCTCAGATGGGATCCCATGGAAATTTTTGGTTGTTTATGGTCCAAACTCTTCCACCCTCAGGAATAGGCTCTGGTCAGAATTGGATCACGTTGCGTCCCTACCACACTCCATTTGGTACCTGGGAAGAGACTTTAACATCATTCGTTGGTCTTATGAGAGAAACTCCTCAACTTCTATCTCGCAGGACATGAGAGATTTCTCATACTTTATCAGCCGAAATGAACTTCTTGATATCCCCCTTCAAGGCACTACTCCTTTCTAGCACCTCAGATGGGATCCCATGGAAATTTTCGGCTGTTTATGGTCCAAACTCTTCCACCCTCAGGAATAGGCTCTGGTCAGAACTAGATCACGTTGCTTCCCTACCACACCCCATTTGGTACCTGGAAGGAGACTTTAACGTCATTCGTTGGTTTTATGAGAGAAACTCCTCAACTTCTATCGCGCAGGACATGAGAGATTTCTCAGACTTTATCAGCCGAAATGAACTTCTTGATATCCCCCTTCAAGGCTGTAGGTATACTTGGTCCAACCATGCCTCTCAACCCACCTTCACAAAATTAGACAGATTCCTCCTTTCCTTGAACTGGGAGGAGCACTTTCCAGGTTCCTCATCCATGGCCCTTCCCAAGCCTACGTTGGACCACCGCCCCATCATGCTTGATTCTAGTGCAGTAAAGAGGGGCCCTAAAGCCTTCAAATTTGAACTCCATTGGCTTCAAGAGGAGTCTTTACATACCCTTGTCCAAACCTGGTAGAACTCCTTTTCTTCAAAGGTCACGGGCAGAGCAGAATACATTCTTTAGACCAAAATCCAACTCCTCGAATCCTCTCTCAAAACTTGGAGTTGGTCTAGGCCTAGTAACTTCTCTCAGATCAAGTCTTCTCAATTAGAGACTATCAATAAGATTGATCTTCTTGAGGAAACCAAAACTCTCGATGCCTCAGAGCAGGACCCCAGATCCAAGACAAAACAAGAATACCTGTCCTCCCTTAAAAATGAATAGATCTATTGGTTCCAGAGGTCAAGAATTACCTTGTTGAAAGGAGGGGACCATAACTCTGCCTTTTTTCATGGGATAGCTAAGTTTCGTAGGAGAGACAACACTATGATCAAAGTAAACAACCGCTACCTTACTCAACCTAAAGACATAGAGCAGGCAATTATAGAGTTCTTTCAGACCCTATACACTACTCAACTTGGTCCTAGACCGAGGATGTCATCCCTTGACTTCTTAACCCTCTCAGAAGATCAAGCCACATGGCTAGAGTGACCCTTCTCAGAAGAAGAAATTAAACAACCTATCAATACTCTAGCCAAAGACACCTTTTAAGGCTTTTTGGGATACTTTCTGTCTTGACTTCTTTAAGTTCTTTGAGGAATTCTTCCTACGGGGTAACCCTTCACAAAGCCTTGAACGCCACCTTCCTAGCACTCGTCCTTAAAGTAGAAGGGGCAGAGGAAATCAAAGACTTCCGGCCTATCAGTCTTCTCAATTCCTCCTATAAGATTTTGACCAAAGTTCTCGCTTCTAGGCTGCAACTTGTCCTCCCTTCTATCATCTCTTCAATCAGCCTTCATTAAAGACAGACAGATTCTCTACGGGGCCTTAGTGGCCCACGAGTGCATCCACTCAAGGCACCGAGAGAAAAAACTGGGGCTCATCTTCAAAATAGATTGGGAAAAAGCCTACGACTATGTTGATTGGTTAATCTTGGATGAGTCCCTGCCAGAATGGGTTTCGAGGATAGATGGAGGAAGTGGATGAGAGGCTGTTACTCCCATCCACATTTTTCTATTCTTATCAATGGAGCCCCAAAAGGATTCTTCCCATCTTAGAGGGGTCTCCGCCAAGGTGACCCCCTCTCCCCCTTCTTGTTTGCTATAGCGACGGAAGTCTTTAGTCGCTCTATTTCCCTGCTTTATCAGGTAGGTATCCTTTCTGGATTTAGGAGCAGTAGACATAGCCCAATTGTGTCTCATTTGCAATATGCAGATGACATGTTGGTGTTCTTAGATACCTCCTCCAATGAAGTGGACACCCTCAAACTTTTCCTGAGTTGCTTCCAAACAGCAACTGGGTTCAAAGTCAATATGGACAAATTGAAAATGCTACGTGCAGCAATAACAAATGTAGAAGTTAGATCACTGATCCCGAATTGGGAGTGTAAAGTGGAGGACCTTCCAACTACCTGTCTAGGCCTTCCCTTGGGTTTGGGAAAACCCAGGAAGAGGCAATGGTCTCATGTCCTAGATAAGGTAGACATACGTCTGGCAGGGTGGAAAGGCAGATACCTCTCAATGGCTAGTAGATCGACTTTGATCAAAGCTACACTAGAAAACTCTCCGGTATACCTCATGTCCCTCTTCCATATGCTAGCCTAGGTGGCTAACCACCTGGACCAACTCATGAGGAACTTCCTATGGTCGGTACAGGCTGATAAGAAGAAGTTTCATCTTATAGCATGGGACAATATTTTCCTACCCAAACATCAGGGAGGTCTAGGAATCAGAGTCCTTCGAAAGCATAACTTGGCACTTCTAGGGAAATGGTGGTGGCGTCTGGCCACCCAGCCCAATGCTCTTTGGGCTTAGGTACTAAGGAAAAAATATAAAATCCCAAAAGGAGCTTGGTTGCCAGAAAAAAGCCAATCGCATAACGCCTCCGGAGCCTGGAAATCCTTGTCCTCGGTCTTTGCTCAGTTTAGAAGGTTTGTAAGGTTCCATCCTAGGGAAGGTTTCAGGGTGAGATTCTGTTCAGACCTATGGTTAGGAACGTCCCCTCTACCAGAGCTGTTCCCTACACTCTACTTACTTGCTCTGAACAAAGATTATATTATTGCCGAGGAGTTTGGAATCCATCACTCCGAAGGGACCTAACAGAAGAGGAAACCAGTCAATTCCTGTTGCTCTCCTCAACCCTGCACTCTCTTTTCATCTCTCCTCATGGCAGAGACGCAATAGTTTGGAGCCTAGCCGTCTCTGGAAAGTTCTCGGGAGGATCCTTTTATAAGAGCTTAACTTGACCTCCTACTTTTCCGGGGAATCCTACCTCCGTTATGTCTAAAGTTTGGTCCACCTTGGCTCCACCCAAAGTTCAAACTTTCAACTGGCTCGCCTGCTTTCATAGAGCTCTCACGGTGGACCATCTCCAAAAGAGAGGGGTCTCAATCCCTAATAGGTATGCTTTATGTCAATGTGAGGAGGAATTCAATTCATTCTGTGCGACTTTACTTATGATCTTTGGGGTCAAGGCTTGCAACTATTTGGCATCAAATGGGTCACGCCCCCCTCGGTCAAGGCCTTGATATCGTGCGATTTCGATTTATGTTGGCCAAAGGCCGAAAGAATCATTTGGAAGGCAACGATAGCTGCAACCAATTGGATAGTCTGGGTGGAAAGAAATAATAGAATCTTCCAAGGCCAAAAGCTCCACACATCGGCTCTCCTTCACAAGGTGACCTCTTAGTAACATTTTGGGCCTCTAACCATAAGGCTTTTTCAGGCATTCCAGGGAGACTGTTCCTCACTCAATGGAAAAACGTCCTCAATCACCAACCGAGGTTGGAAACTAGACCTAACAACTGGCAACCATCGTTAAATTTTGACGGTTGTTCCCTAGGGAACCCCGGCCCAGCAGGGGCTGGTGGGGTCTTCAGGGACCACCTAAGCAACACTCTCCTAACATTTTCGGTGCACCTTAGCCTCAAGGATTCCAACCACGCTGAAGCCTTGGCCCGCACCTCATAGTGGAAGGAGACCACAAAATGTCATCTCATGGGCAAACAAAGCGTCTTCTCCACCATGTCACTTAACCTCTATTTTTGACGAAATTGATCACATTTGCAGGGTTACGGACGTCTCCTGTAAGCATATATGGAGGACGTCCAACGACTCCGCAGATCAATTGGCAAAAGAAGGAGCTAGATGCCAAGGACAAGCTCAAGCCGGGTCCAACTCGTCTTTTGCTCTGGACCATTGGCATATAACCTAATATCTTTGTATACTGGCATTTTTTGGCCCTGCTGCATTTTTTGGAAGCATTTTTTGAAGCTCCATGTATATCGATGTAATCAGGCAGTTCTATAAGCCCATTTTTTGTACATGATAGACTAAACGCATTTTTTGCCGAGAGTCCTTGCGTGGGTGTCCTCGAACTTTCTTATCCATGTAATCTCCCTCCCTAGCAATACAATGTTAACTTTTCTCAAAAAAAACGTTTTGGGGCATAGAAAGCCATGTGGGGCAAAGGATGTCTCACGTGAACCTAAATGTTGTAGTTTGGGGTACTTTTTACCTTATATTACTGCCTTGGCTTCCTTGTGTATAGCCTTTTCTTAGAGAAATAATGATTGGAACTAAGACTGGTTTATTTGATTGATTCGTGCAGCGAATTACAAGGTAATATAAGCAGAATGGACACCTTTAGAAAGTACATAGAATCAGTAGTTCCATTCTTCATAGGGTCTTTCTCTACTGACTTTTTTAATCACTACTCTCTGAGAAAGATTATAACATAGTTCCTTTGACTACTTAAAAACCATGGTCTTCGTAAATGAAATTCTTTGTGCATTCAGTAAAGATGTGCACTCAGTGACCAAAACAGATGAAATCATGAAGATCCTGTGCATACCATTTTACTGATTAATTATAAATTTAGGAGCAGCTTAAAACATGACAGTAGATCGTGTTTATACCATTTTACTAGTTAATTATAAATTTAGGAGGACCTTAAAACATGACGATAGGCTACTCCTCCGGAACGATTGATCTGGTTTTGATTATTAATGTCGGTGGCGTTGACCCTTGGAGAGGATTCTTTAAAGTTCTCTTATGAGGAACATTCAATAAATGCAACTTGTGAGGCCGAATGCTCTTGTAATATCTTTTCCATTTGTTTACCTTCATCACCTTTTGCTTCCTATGTTATCTCTCACTTTGTAACATATGTCCCCTCAGAGTCATGATATCTTGTTATATGATCAATATGTTGAATATTATTTTATGAGCAGTATCGTGCAGATTTCCCTAGTGGCATCAAAGAACGGGCCGCATTTGTTGACTTGGCTCCAAGATTTCATCAGCTTGCGGAGGAAGTACTTCAAAGACAAATTCAGTTAGTTTTGTTGAGTTTGAAAGAGGTAGAAAATATTAGATCTTGCAGTTTATATACAGTGCTTTGTTTTCATGTCACTGAAATTTAAAATGTATTTCTGTTCACTTATCAAAAAAGTATTTGGTGTTACTATCTGGAGAGGTTCTTGACTTTGGTTTTCTTCTCAGGCTATAGATGGTGCTGATGGATTTCAGAATACCCATCAGCCGCCACAGTGTGAATCTACGAAGTTTTGTATTGATCAGGTAGATCTGGATTGACCATGCATCATCCTTTGTTCTTTAGTAACTGTTCGGAAATTGGATGTTTTCCTGCCTTTGCTGCTCTTTAGTAACTGTTGTTGAGAAAATGTACTATTCAGAATATTATCTGTATGTGGAGAGGATTGCTTTTGTTCATCTAACCTTCTGCCTTTACATTAATTTCGTTATCTAAACAATGTCAATCGACGACTTATTACTTGTGTATACTAGTATCTATCTCATGGAATTTTTAGGTCTTGATCCATGTCATTTCTGATGGTTTCCTGGCTTATTAATTTGTATTGCATCTCAGTTGAGTTTAGTCCTCTTTTTCTTGTATGGTTAATTATCGATTGTGAATATTGTTTCCGCTGATAATTTTACTGAACTTTCATATCGTGTTTGTATTACAGCTTCCCTTTCATTATACTACATCCATGTTTCCATGTTTTTCTTTCTACCTCTGTCTTTGTTGTGCCTTTTTAGATGGTCATGTATTTGCATCTGGTTATGGTAATGCTCATGCCTCATAGTTGCTCGGATCTCCCAACCTAGTGGCAATCCCATTCTGAATCTTGTTTCCAACACTCTAGAAAAAGGATCTTCAAGGGATCTTGTTTTTAATACTTTGGGATCTTGATCCTCACTGTTATGGATCTCAACCCCAATCTAAATGACTAAGACAATGACCAAACTGATGGTTTTTTTTCTTATAATCTTTGAAACTATACTTTTAATAGAGTTGCATTGCTTTCTAGCTTCAAATAAAGGGACCGTATATATAATTCTAGACTATATATAGTAAGATTCCCAATGGTTGGGTCAAGATCTTGGATTAGAATTGATATTCCCAGAAGGTTGGGATTGATATTCTCAGAAGGTTGGGATTGAGATCCCTAACATTTGGGGATCCTGATCCCTAACATATGCATTGTAGGACAATGCTCTCAACCATATGTCTCTTCTAGCCTTTCACAATCCCTTGCTCCCGATCCCGATTCTGATCCTGATCCCTTTCTTGCTCCTACTCTTGATCTCTAATGCTTTTATTTATTTCTTTTTGATTGGATAGTAGTCATATCATGTATATCCTTTTATGCCAGGTCCTGATCTTAGGAAAAGGACTACCCGATTCGCTAACACTATAGAAGTTATAGGAGCTGTGTAAATAGGGCTGTCACTAACTATACGAGCTCTATATGTGCTATAGCTATAGGAGCTCAAGTGGGAGGGTTGCTAAAGCTAATAGCCTCGAGATAAAATCCTTTAGCTGCTACTCTATAAATCATTGTACAAAAATTTCCACCCATAAATGAAACGTTTGATGCTAAATATAGATTATGCCATTGCAACTGAGAAATGGTAGATTTAACACCATGCTCTCAATTTGAAGTTCATTTTAGACAACAAAATGTTGCTTGAGATAAATTTTAATGCACATGAGAGAATTATGAATGCGCTCAAAACATGCATATTATTTATCTATTTTTGACGTGTTAGGTTAAAGTGTAAATGATTTTTTGAACAGTGATTTAAAAAGCGGACCACCCAGCGCTTGGGAACCAGCCTAAGTGGTCCACAAGCCCTGGGCGCATCGCCCAGCCCTAGGCGGTCAATTTAGGCGGATATCCCTAGGCGCCCTGCCTAGGGGCCGAAATGCCCCTCGTTGAGAGCATTTTTTAATCATTTTTTTAATACTAAAGGGACAAAATTTTGGGTTTTAAGTTCATTTGAAACCTAAAACCCATTAGAGCCTATTTTAGAGAGAGAAAAACCCCACCAAGTTTTCAAAAAACGCTAGGCGGCTTGCTAGGCGCCCAGTGCCAAGCGCCTAGGCAGGCGCCCAAAACCTCAAGCGCCCTGCGGTGCAAATTCTTTGATTTTTTTTATATATTTATTATCCAAATGCACATATATGCATATATTTGTGTCAAATTTTGTAATTTATTCCATTTGAAAATATCGCAAGTTCGCAACATACGTTTTTATATACAAACATATCACAACTCTCAGGTAATCAGGTTGAGAATAAACTTATTCAAAATTTCAAACCATACAAAACATATAAAATTCTAATAGGCTATTGTAAGGTCTCCAACTCTCATATTCTCCATAGTCCATATGCATAAAATAAACCATCATAACATCCAAGTCTCCAACTCTCCAAGTCTTCAACAAACTGACTTCCAAAACTATAAAAAAGCAGTAAACCACACAACGAAATAAGTCCAAAAAGGCAAAAAAAGTACAAACCACATAACAAAATAAAAATCGTCCAAATGTCTAAAGCCCAAACCAAGATGGTACAATAAAGTTAGTAAGTTACTACAAAAGAAGAGAAAACAATCATGACATCAATAAAAATCATAATCATCATCTTCATTGCTTTCATTTGGATCAGAATTGAGGCCATCATCATCATAATCATCTCTCTCTTCAACATATCCCTCTTCTTCCAGGGATTCTTTTGAATCTGCCTCCTCTTCCTCTATCTCCCTCCGTGAAGTACCAGTAGAAGAACATTCTCGAGTGGCCCTCTTAGGATCAAAAGCTTGTCCTAAGCCTCCTCAACCATTTCCCATGTCAAACCCTTCCCAGGGAAGACCTCCTCAGGATCAGGGTCACTAACAATCCAATCTGAAGCATTCTCCATGTCTTCGAAGAGATAGGGTCCTTCTTTGGCTGGCTTTTCTTCTCCTTGAGCCTTTGTTTCTCTCTAAACAAAAACCAAGTCATTGAGCTTCTTTTGCTCAAGCCTATTTCTTCTCTTTGTATGCATCTATAAGGAAAAATAATGCATAAGTAACTACTATGAGTTTATGAACTTCGTACCTTTTATAAATTTATATTACAAAATGAACTTCTAAACAAAAAAAGCATATAAAATTGTAAAATAGTAAAATACGATCTCAAACAAACTCCAATTGCGCTCACAACCAAAAGAGGTAGCTGTCAAACTCAAGATCTATATAGCCATCTTCTGGAGGTTTGGAGCGCTACTCCTATGTTGTCTCCACCATTGAGCTGCAATATGTGGATAACCTTTATAATTAATTTATGTATTTAACATTATCAAAACTTGAAAGAAAATTATAAATTTATATTTTATAAAACAAAAGTCAAAAGAATAGTACCTGGTTCGTCTTTGTTTCTCCGTCTTAATGCCATATATTTCCCAAATGACATCAAAGAACACTTATACTAAATTAGCTCTTCAGTTGATATCTTATCTTGGATATATGGATCGGGAACTAATTTCTCAAGACACTCATTAAAACCATCTATATTTACCCCTTTTGACTCAATATCTGCATTTGCATAAAAGAATTTGGGTTTCAAGTAGTACCTCGCTGCATGCAATGGTTTCTGGAGTTGCCTATCCCATTTGTCATCTATAATCTCCCAAATTGGGGCATACGTGGCTGCATCATTTCCCAAATTTTTTGAAATCTCATTCTTAGCCCTTTCTATTGCATCATATATAAAGCTCATGGAGGGCTTATCAGCATCAACCAAACGCAAGACTTTCACCAAGGGAAGATATACTAATGTCGCATGCTTCACCCCACGCTAAAAATATTTCGAAAGAAGAATATCTTGTGCCTTCTTTCCCTTGGCATCTCTAAACCACGTACACGTACTCCACTCATCTGAAACAAACATAGACCTTAATGAGATCCTCCTCTTATACATGCTCTGTAGACTAAGGTAAGCAGTAGCAAATCTAGTGACCCCAGGCTTCACTAGCTCTCTCTTTTTTGGAAACTTACACATCATGCTAAGGGTAAGTATGTGACTGTATATGAAGATTGTAACCTTCTTAGCCTTTAAAATAATTCCTTTAATAGTAGGCAATTCACCAATTGCCTCAAACATAAGATCTACACAATGTGCAGCGCAAGGAGTCCAAAATATACGAGGCCTCTTCTGTTGAAGCAAATGACCTGTAGCGAGATTGGGAGCAGCATTATCTGTGACCACTTGAATTACAAGTTTCTCCCTAACCTTCTCAATGCCCTTATCCATGAAAGAAAATATATAATGCGCATCATGAATATCATTGGAAGCATCGATTGAGCGCAAAAAAACTATACCTGTTGGACAATTTACTAACACATTCATGTTACTCTTCCTCCTTTCACTCCACATATCTGTCGTTAAAGATACCCCAAATTTTGCCCATCCCTCCTTGTGAGTCTTGAGATATTCGTTAGTGTACTCGACTTCTTTCTTCAGTAGTGGCTTTCCAATCTCATAAGGAGTTGGAGCTTTCAAACCTAGCCCAAATTGCCCAATTGCTTCCAACATTGTATGAAACCTATTCAAGCGAGCAGTGTTAGAAAAAATGCGCGCATGGTAAAACCATCGAGCAAATACTGAATCACCCTGACTCTCTCTTCCTTCTTTAATCTATTTTCAGTTGTGACTTGTTTTTTCCCCTTTCCTCCTTTGCCTTTCTCAATTAATGTCTCAGGGCTAGGTGTATAAAACGGCCCTCTCGTATGAGCCTTCTTAGACCCAAAAGCCCTCTTGGTCTTACAGCTCTGAGTACCAATCATGGCTATCGCTTCTTCCCCCTCTTCATCCTCTTCTTCAGTGTCAATATTATCATAAAAAATATGGACCCTTAACTTTTATTCTGCTATATCTTTTTTTTTTTTGCAATTTTTTTACTCCTTTTCACGTTCAATGTATTCCAAAATTTTTTTCTTTACAAGATCTAGGACTTTCTTACATGGGGCAACATCACCTCTAATACCGGCAAGATGTTTCTTAAATCTATTTATGCCGGCATTAGAAACATGTCCACAGAAATTGCACATAATGTTATTTCTGTCATTCTTGTCAGGATTAACATAATTATTTCCATTCTGGATCTCCACCCCTATTAGACCCTGCAGAAGACATCTCAAATTGGAAAAATAAAACTTATATAAGATTACAGACTGACATTTTCTAGCCAATATCTGATCTTCGATGTTTGTTACCTCATTCGAGCTACGAATCAACTCAAAAGTCTTCTAATACCAAAAAAAAACTTTTTCAATCCACAAAAAGTACTTTTGATTCTCAGAAAATACTTTAGATCCTCAGAAATAAGTTTAAGATTGAGGGTTTCTTGTTTTTTTCACTTTGGGGTTAAAAAATAAACACCAAAACTATTTTTATACAAACTTGGGGGTCAAAATGACCCCTTTTGCCCTTTTGGGCGAACTTAAATACAATAAAATGCCCAATTGCCTTGGGCGCTAGGCGCTCGCCCAGGTACAACCGCCTGTGTAGGGGCGCCCGGGTCGAGGCGTGCGGAAATTTTTTTATGGGTGCCTATTCGCCGGTCGGACTGTTTTTTGAAATGGATGCCCATGTTATCTAAGTCCTTCTATTGCATGAGCTGAATCTTTGGATATAAGATATATATATCTTAAAAGAGTTGTGGCTGGGAGAAATCAAATGTATGGTGTTGGGCCACTGATTTTGGAGGGACCTTTGCGTTTGTTGGCTAATGATTTTCCTTGATATGGATTAAATGAGATAACAACTATAGGTATCAACTAGGAAAAAGAAGGAGAAAAAGAAAAAGGGAGAAGAGAAGGGCCTCATGAAGCTGATCAGATGAAATCTTTCTCATGTAGAAGTTATTTTAGCCAGCATGAACCTTGTTCGTTATATGTGATAAGGTTGTGGAGCTTTCTCCTACGTTTGCAAGACCCCGGTGGACTTTTAGCCCACAAGCTGTTGATTTTTTTTTTTTCGATGAGAATATTTGACTTTGTATAAGGTAATAGTCAAATTACGAATACAAAAGTTGTTGACCCAACGAGCTTTTGAGTATAGCTAGTCGATCTCCTAGGACCTATCTCAATTGTGCTTTGAATGTGATTAGACACTCATTGTCCGAGGATTTTGTATTGGGGGATTTCTTTTCTGAAAACGATGGATTGTGAGAAAAAATATAGAGTGGGGATTTATCTTGAGAATAAAGTAGTTTTCTTATATGAAAATAGGTTATAGAATGTGGGTCTGTTGTTTAACTGGGAATCCTCGGTGAGAAATAATATTTATGTAATTCTTTTTCGAATGTTAACTTGACACCTGAGTAGGAATGGAGCTCTAGACAGCATGTTGTGGCACCCTATCGTAATTAGCAGTTTTCAGTTCCAGCAACTTCACCTTCATTTGTGTGGAGACAATAATCTAAATTATATGGCCGTAAAAGGAAACACATAGAAGTATGGGATTTACCCTTCAATTCTAACTTATGGTGATCTAAACTCTAAAATGCATGTAAATAACAGTTCTAACTGATGCTGTGTCCTTTTGTTGAATATGATTGCTTGCATAGGAAATAAGCCTTCAATGCTGCATACCAATGAAACAAAAGGCATACCCATCCTTACATGAAACATCTTCACATGCATCATAATATTGTATTATTATTGGAGCATGTGGTTGTATGCTGAATATGAAAGGTAACTGTTTCTAATCAATTTCAATTCTCCTTTTTTTTGTTGAGTTGGTAATCAGGTTGTTTTCATCCTTGAGAAAGCACGGATTTTGTGGGAACCACTGTTATTGCCATCCACATACAAGAAATCAATGCTTACTATCTTGAGTTATGTGTTTGAAAGAATAACCAAGGAAATCCTCTCTTTAGATGACATTGCAGCTGATGAGACCCTACAGGTTGTTATATTGAGGTTCTTCTTTCTTTATTCATTTTTTTTTTTGCTGAAAACTTGTTTTACCTTGTTAATTTTGGGGTTATTGTTTAGCCAAATGTACCTAGCAATTGCCAACTTGTTATTGCGATTCTCTTTTCAGCTCCAGAGTTTGATCTATATGGTAATAGACAACTTGTCTTCAGTAGTGGAGGAACTTGTACCTGAAGTCCAAGGTTCTTCAGAGGTTCATATGTGGAATCAATTGGAAAAGTTGATCTCCTCTTTAAGTAAACTTCGGAAACTAGCAGGTACTTCAAATTTGTAAATCTGCTGCCAGGACTTTGGTTAAGACATTTTTTTTTTTCTAGGTAGCTTTTAACCGAACTTTTACTTAATTTTGCTAGATCTCTTGGATATGCCTTTAAAGACCATTACGACCTTGTGGGAGAGAGGAGAACTAGTTAGTTGCGGTTTTACTTTATTAGAGGTGAGAATGATTTCCTGAAGGATGTTTATATTGTTTAATTATTTTCATGTTCTTTGAAAAGATGAAACATTTTAATAAGTAAATTGTGCAATAGACTCATAGAGGTTTTGTTTGTTTAAATTACATGTGGTGTCCTTTTCCTTGCTCCTTTAACCAGTATTTATTTATTGATTTTTCTATTTAGCATATTCAAATAGAAAATGTTTTGTGCTCCATTTTGGCCTGTGAATCAAGAACATTTTTTCCGTGCACAAATAAGTATAGTGTACTACAATTTTTTTTTATTTGTCTTGGCCAAGCCCCGTGTTGTTCGGTCCTTACTCCCTTTGTATTATTCTTAAAATAATAGAGTACAATGAGTGGCGGGTACAGTTTGGATACTGGGATCAAGCCAAAATCACTCATAGTTCAATACATTATCAAATGCTCTAATGTGATATTCAAGCATGGGGAGTGGGGTCGGGAAAAGTCAGTTTACTTGGACATTGCCTGGGTGGGAGGCCATCCTGTCTTTCTAGGATCAATCATTACTTGGTGGAAGGTCGAGTTGGGGTTGACGGTGTCTCAGATTCCAAGTAAGGTCTGGTAGCAAATTTGGGTCTAGGAGGTCTTACACTTGAAAGCACACTGATTTTGTTCCTCCTAAATTACTTAAAATAAGTGTGGCTAATAATGTCTTCCATAGGGTGATTATGGTTTTGTTCCGAAATGGCTTTTAAAATATGGGACAAGATTTTGAGTTTAAAGTCCTGGTAGGCTTGAAAGTCAAATCTCCAGAATATAAGGCTGTGCAACATCAAGGTGATCATGGCTCTCCAAGTTTTGCATGCATTGGAAGCACCAGCTACGTGTGTGGATGTTTCTTATTTGCACCGTCTCTATTGTTGGAAATGTGGTTTGGTTGGAAATGCATGTAAGTGATAATGCCCTAGAATGAGTGGAGCCCTTGCAAATAGCCAAGGTTTAAGGAGGGGCCCACAGAAAGATGATCATTGCTCTCCAAGTTTTGCATGTATAGGAAGCACTAGTTACATGTGTACATACCTCATTTTTACACTATGTTTATTGTAGAGCAATGTGGATTGGTAGGCAAACCATGTAAATGATGATGCCGTAGGATTAGTGGAGCCCTTCCAAATAGCCAATGTTAAAGGGTGGGCCTGACCGCTGAATAGGTTATACACACTTCTTGATGTGATGAGGCCATGATTTTATGGGGGTGTCCTCCCCATGCTGATATGCTGATCCTGCAAATATAAAACTGCCATGGTTGAGTTAGGTCGAAGCTAGTCGGTGGTGGGAGGTCATGGATTACCATCAAAGAATGTAGATATGATCCTAGCTCTCAAAAAAGAGAGAAAGAGAGCGAGAGAGCGAGAGAGCGAGAGAGCGAGTGTGTGTGTTTGTGTGCCACCCCCTTCTCCCAACTTTTGTTTGTATACCATCTGCACTCCCAATGGCCACAGTATGCAGCATGTTTCCATACTTGCATATGACCCCTTTGCTTGTCATACCTCCTCAGTTTGGATCCTTTTGACCCCCTTCACTGTAGCGGCAGACTCCTCCCTTCATTGAGCCCTGAAGCTAATATTCCCCTCTCATCTTTAGGACGCCTACTGTAGTCTTGGCCACCAATCTTGCGACAGTAGGTCTACAACTGTCAAGATTCCCAATGCCTTGAATTTTTGCTTCAACAACAGAACCTTCTCTGCCCTTAGTCCTCCAGCCAATGCCCCTGCCATCTCTGGCAAAGGTTATGAAGTGCAGAAGGTCAATGTAAACTGAAGTCATGGATCTTGAAGAGTTGATTCTGCTGCTTCTCCTCAAGGAAGCAACCTAGTCCATTATTTGGCTCCTTTATCCCAAACAAGAGATTGTTTCAGTATCTCAATTGGGGAAGGTGTTAGAAGAAGGCAGAGGAGCACCCTCAGACTTCCCTGGTTAGGGCCTTCAATCTCCTAGAAAAGACATCAAGTGTGTAAGTGCTTGGGCCAAGAAGACACGACCCCAATATACCTAGCAGAGCTCTCCACAATAGTATGGTTCTCTTCTTTTCCCTCCCTACATGAAGCATAGTTACAGGGAACATGAGTGATAAGAGCTCTGGGATCGGGAGCGGGAGCACGAAGTGAGGTAGGCTCGAATATCCATGGTCGGGGGAGCGAGGTCCGTATAGGGTCTAGTAAAGGGATTGAAATCCCTGACTTTTTAAGGAGCGCATTCCATATTTGCGCAGGAGTGAATTCTTTATTGAATGGGAAATGCAAAAAATAGGATTGAGGTTCCCGAAGTTCACTTATCAACTATATTGTAATTTGGGAGTGAATTTCATTCAACAATATGTTTTAAGTTTTTCTAAATACACAAACCCATGTATCAACGTAAACAAGAATCATGTCATTGAAATTCTCCTCAACTTTTTGTTATAATTGGGGTATGATTTCACACATGAGTAGTGTACTAAAAATTTGATATGGTGATGTAATGCCGAAGTCTTAGGGTACGAAAGAAGCTATGTGACCTTGACCTCAGCTATCTCTCTTTCTCTCTCTCCCTCTATCTCTCTCATCAAGGAATCTCACTCTCTCTCTCTCTCTCTCTCTCTCTCTCTCTCTCTCTC